GGTTCTGATCAGGTCCTGGTTCTGATCAGGCTCTGGTTCTGATCAGGTCCTGGTTCTGATCAGGTCCTGGTTCTGATCAGGTCCTGGTTCTGATCAGGCTCTGGTTCTGATCCTGCTCTGGTTCTGATCAGGCCCTGGTTCTGATCAGGCTCTGGTTCTGATCAGGCTCTAGTTCTGATCCTGCTCTGGTTCTGATCCTGCTCTGGTTCTGATCAGGTCCTGGTTCTGATCCTGCTCTGGTTCTGATCAGGTCCTGGTTCTGATCCTGCTCTGGTTCTGATCAGGTCCTGGTTCTGATCAGGTCCTGGTTCTGATCAGGCTCTGGTTCTGATCAAGTCCTGGTTCTGATCAGGTCCTGGTTCTAATAATGATATCTGGAAACGTTTGAAAAAAAACCTGTTCTGGAATCTTCTAGAAACCTTCACAGAAACAGAACATTCTTCTCCTGTGAACAGGGTCAGTAAAGGGGGACAGAACTTCTGCTGGACTTCCCCCCTCCCAGCATGACTGACCGTTGTGTCACGGCCTGAATCACAGTGGTCAGCACACACACACGCCCACACACACACACACACACACACACACACACGTCCCGCCAGGGAGGAGCACTATCAGAACGTCACATGACAGGAGCCATCTTTTTCCCTTTTCATTTTCCTTTCATTTTCCCAAAGAATTCCCACTTTTGAATTTGTCGCCCACCTCTCAAACTCAAACTAAAAACGCGGGACAGATTTGGGAGCGCTGAATACGATCCGTTAGCATTCCCGATTAGCACAAACGCACAATTTCCAAGTTCGAGGAAGTCACACGGCTTAGTTGTGACATATTTCACGTCTCTATTTCCTTTTTTTGTTGGTTATTATCATTTTTTTAAAGCTTGCTCCGATGACTTATCGATATTTTCCATCATAAGTTCTATAAAGCAACAAATTCTGTCTCTATTTCCTTTTTTGTTGGCTATTATCATTTTTTTTAAAGCTTAATCCGATGACTTATTGATATTGTTCCGTCATAAGTTCTATAAAGCAACAAATTCTGTCACTATTTCCTTTTTTGTTGGCTATTATCATTTTTTTTTAAATTGCTCTGATGACTTCCTGATATTGTTCTGTCATAAGTTCTATAAAGCAACAAATTCTGAAATTTTTTCACTTATTTTTTTTCTGATATTATCATCCATTTAAAAAAACAAACAAACAAAAAAACACCTTTAGTTACATATTCTAAGCACAGACAGCTAATAAGTAAATGATAATTCAAGATCCCAATAGTACGTTAAATATGTGTTATGTACTTAATTGCAGAATAATGAAAATTATTATCTGTCTTATTATTATGTCATTTTTTTCATTATATTATATTATATTATATTATATTATATTATATTATGATATATTATGATATATTATATTATATTATATTATATTATATTATGATATATTATGATA